TCCATATTTGTAAATTAATAGTTTTTTTTATAAAGAACCGGGCCTTGAGGTTGGGAAATTAATGCAAGCTTATGAACAGATAATATCAAACCAAGTCTGCAATTGCCAAATAATTTTCTTTCACTGATTTGAGTGATCTCCCTTATTTCATATTATTATACATAAGACTTGAAATGTAATAAATATCTTAGTCCGAAGTTGACAAAGTTACCTGAAATGATACTTAAATACATTAATGTTATTTTGCCATGAAGTTTTGATCACTGTTAATTACTTCGTCATTTAAAGTAGATTTTCTCCTTAATCACTGTTAATTATGACGAAGATTTAGTTAACAGGTTCTTTTGTGTTCATTTACTTAATTCTTGGTTGCTTTTAAAGTGACTGATTTGTCAAGCTATTTTGATTAAGAACTTTTTTTTTTCATTGGTTTATCTAAATAAGTCCATTTTAGAAACTTGATTTTCATATATTCATGCATTGTTAATCTAGAATTTGTCAACAAATTTATTTAACTGTGTATCACCTCATATACACTTTGTTTTATATCTGTCACTTTGTTTTATCTCTGTACTGTCTAAAGATTTTACTGAGTCAAAAGACAAGAGTTTAAAATATGTTAAAAGAAACCTTTGTAAAAGTAAGCCTTGGATATATCTTATAGTCAGCTACATTCATTTACTTTGTATGATTCCTGTGAGCTGTTGTATGTGATAAAATCTCATGTTTATTCTCTTAAATAAATTACATGAAACTTGCATTATTGTCTTGTGATATGTGTTATTCCTTTGTTTTAAATTTACAAAATGTCGAGTGACAAGTGACTTTGAAGTTGCGGTCAATTGTAACCTTTTTAATGGCAAACACAGTACAGAATATTTTCAGATTAATGTTAAACTTTTACAGAATGGAGTCTTTTTATAAGTCATTGGTATGTTAATTTGCATGAGTGAGCGAATCCAGTTTCATATCGAATAACAATTAACTTAAAATCTCTGTTTATATATATTACCAGTTGATACAAATATTGCAAGTTGATAGAAACATGCATACTTATAATATGTATATACTGAGTAATAAGCCACACGGTATTTGTTGGTGATATGGGTCGTATTATACCTTTGACAATAGCATACTGGGGATTGAACAAAGGAACATTTGTCTCTTATTCTGAAACCTTCCATATCTAGTTTTTATGCCCCCGCCATATAATGGCAGGGGCATATATAGTGTTACCCTGTTCCGTCATTCCGTCCAAAATGACCTTCTGTCATCATCAGTTTCCGTTCATTTGCTTAATAACCGTTGCACATATTGAACTCAAATTTGACATATGGATATGTCATGAGAAAATACAGGTCAAGTTCGAAATTGGTCATGGTTCGATGATTTTTGGGAGAGTTATGCCCCTTTCACTTTAAAAATAATATAAATTTTCAGTTTCCGTTTATTATCTCCCCAACAGCATTACACATTCAACTCAAATTTGACATATGGATATGTTTTTGGAATGCGCAGGCCAAGTTCGAATTGGTCATGGTTCAATGATTTTTGGCAGAGTAATGCCTCTTTCACTTTTAAAATTATATGAAATTTACAGTTTCTGTTCATTATCAACCCAACAGTGTTACATATTCAACTCAAATTTGACATATGGATATGTCAAAGGAAAGCGCAGGTCAAGTTGGAATTTGGTCATGGTTTGATGATTTTTTGGCAGAGTTATGTCCCTTTCACTTTGAAAAAAATATAGATACACCATAGGAATGAGCAGTTTAAGTTTGAATTTGGTCGTGGTTCAATGATTTTGGACAAACTTATCTTTCCTGAATGTTGGAAATTTTTTGAACTTTCAGTTTCAGCACTCATACTTTTGTGGAAATGTGGAAATTTTGGCTACAAATATGTAATATGCTATTTTCAAAAGGTAAAGACTGAATAATTTCAGTGCCTTGAACATTGTATAAAAATGGTTTGTGTTAACATTGAAAAGTTTTAAGGGCTTTGAACTTAGAATGAAAAAAATTATTTGCGCAAACAAATTTGGGACTTAATATTATAACATTTGAAATTTTGGCTGCATGCGGGGGCACACGTGGCATGATGACATATTTCTAGTTTTGTCTGCTCTCTTTACTCTCAGTGGGCTTGACATTCTGTCCTGGCTTTCCCTTCTCCTTGTTTCTTTAGTTTTAAAATATTTAAAAATTAAAACTTAACAAATGACCATCAGACACATTTTCAAAATTATCCATTACTTACATTATGTGACTACATTATCATTGCATATTTGGATGTCTATCATATAAAGTTCTAAGGCAACATGATATTGTATTATTATTCATACCTGTGCTTTTCCTTTTATTCGAAAAAAAAATCATGTAGTTTAAAGTATGTTAAAGATCACCTTTTGACCGATTTAAATTCTGGTATATGTAGGTTTGTTATAATATATTCCATTTTTAAAGAAGACAAGACAATGAGACCGCAGATATGAAATAAATGGAAAATTAATCTCACCTGTGTTCATAAGTATGGTGGTAGATTTGCGCCATCAAAGTTTCCGCCCTACGACACCGCCAAGCAAAAAGTCGAGAATTGATAAGATGAAAAGACGGGGGCGCCGAGCGAAATCAAGCTATTTAGCAGGGACCCGGAGCAATGTTTAATAGATAAAACTTCGCCCTGCGTGGGAGGGGCGGAGCGATATTTCAGAAATAGAACAACTGGGACATCGAATAAAATTTTATTTAGTCAACTTCGCCCCGCGCCTCCATTAATTAGCGTGTTTTCGCTTAGCACCCGACCGTTTTAACTTGTTAATTCTCGACTTTTCGCTTGGCGGGGATGAAAACCCGAATGGCACAAATCAGACAACATACACATCGCTGTACATTCACATGTCACATAATTTTCTATAGTAACTCTAAACACAGTGAAGATCATTCGGCGACAAACCAGCTTTTTTGATTATTCCTGAATTTTGCTTGCATTTGCAATTATTGGCTATAATAAGAATGAAAATGATAATAATACTCTTTATTTTATGAAAATAGCTTATTAAGACAATACATCAAAGCATCAAAGAAAACATATGAAATGCAATATTTTATTTTTAACAATTGTAGACTTGTAAAATTTCTTATTTCTAAAGGAATAGTGTTCTATAACTCCATACTAGCATAATAAAAAGTATGCTTCAAATAAATTGTTTTAGGTCCTTTATGTATAATGTCTTTTTTCTGTGATGATCTTAGTAAGTACATTTTATTCTGAGATAAAAGAATAAGATCAGAAATATGCTGGTGTTAATTCATTCATTGCTTCAAACACCATAATTCCAGAAAAATAATTACATCTACATGGAAAAAATAAGCATTTCAGATTTTGAAACATTTCAGGAGAATTGGTTTTTACAGTTTTCTTTAAAATGTTTCTGGCGGTTCTTTTTGTAATTTCAATATTCTATTATGTCTGAATTGTTACATTCGGACCATATAATATATCCAAAAACAAAAGTTATAAAAATATCACATATGACAAAACCTGACTGGTTGAATTCTGTAAATTTGACCTTGTCCTTTAAATGAAATTGATTACTAAGTATCATTTATACACAAAAATCCACAAAAAATGATGAAGGCTATAAAGGTAAATCTTTAAAAAATATTTAAATATTTTTTTTAAACAGTTTGGTGGTTTCCATAATGTTGTTGATACTTTTAACAGTTGAAACATAAAATATCTTTGCTGTTTAAGAAACATGAATATAATATTGCATGTATTTTGTTAACAAATTAGAATGTTCGACAGCAAAAATATTATTTTTGCTATTTTAGTAGGATTTTGAATGCAACGCCTTTTTTGTTATCATTTGGTTTTATTTGTATATGGACTAGGCAAAAACGTGAACACATCACGAACCTGAGTCAGTAGTTTTGCTGTGGCTTAGCGACAATTTTCCAATAAACACAGTTTGATCATTATTTAAATGATGTCAAATTATTAATAATTAACTAAAATCTATAATAAATTATTAGTAATAAGATCATCTGATTATTTTACAAAACATAAATTAACGTTAACACATAATGACTTTTAAGAAAGGTCAAACATGGATTTCATAGTTTTAGAGAATGTTAGAAGAAAACAGAATAAAAGTGAAATATTTTTTTTATAAAAGTAGCAATATGTAACCAAAGTACTATTTTGGCTTCCATACAAAATACTAAATCACCCTAACTTTCTTGTTTTCAGAGAGGAAGAGATGAAAAAGATGGTTAAGGTAAATGACTGATGAGTTATTTTAGATTAATATGAAAGTATACCAAACTTAAAAGCTTTTAATACAAATGAAAGCATTTTTGAGCCTGAATAGGCCTTTAAATAATATTTTCTTATAAAAAGGGGAGTATTTGTTTAACTCTATGGTACATACAAAAGATAACAACTCGTTTTCTGTGTGCAAGGATACCAAATAATGAATGTATATGTACATGAATTTACTTCACTCAAAAATATGCCAACAAAACTCATTTCCTGTCAAAAAAGCTTTTTCAAATGTTGTCAAAATAGCTTTTTTAAAATGTAAATTTACTCAAAATGCGACTTCAGTTTAGTCAAATTAAAATATTTTTAATGCTTTTCTGTTATCATTTGATACTGACTTCATAAAGTATTTACAAATGCCTTTTTATCAAAATTATGTAGTTAAAGAATGAATATTACTAAAGTCTTACAAAATTACTAAATGCTTAAACAATAAGAGCAGTTTATATAAAACATTTTGATGAGAAAAATTATAAATACATTTTTTATCCAAAAAGGAACAATAAACAACATGAAATTTATAACAAAGATAATAATAATAAACATATATTTAATAAAGAAGAATGAAAATGAAATACATTTACATATTTACAGTGAGACATATATATATATATATATATATATATATATATATATATATTTATATATATATATATATATAGTTACTTACCAGGAATTATCCACTAACCACTATTTGAGAGTTTGAAAAGTATATAAATGAAGTAAGAATTCATCTACACCTAATTGAAAAAGAGAACCAGTACTCCATGAAATGACCTAAACAATTTTCTGTTTGAAATTATTAAAATAATATTTAAAGATTGATTTATATCAACAACTAAAATAGCTTTATCTTGGTCTGACAACTAGTTAGCAAATATTGAAAAGGTTAACAATAGAGTTTTCAGACATGTTCTTGTAAAAATGTAGATTTTGGCATCTTGAATATATGAAAGCTTTATTTACAATGGCTATCTGTATTTTCAACAATACTTTAATCCAAAGTATGCGATTCTTATATAAAAGTTTGGAAGTAAAAACTTCAAAAGATAAATGTAATGTTAAAACATTATACATTTAAAGAATATATTTAAAGAGTATATAAAGAAGATAATTGTAAAATGCTTAAAATTCTCTGTAAAAAATTGACATGCAAATATGAGGCATAACAGCTTTAACATTTAAGCTTTGATTCTATGCATGCACAGAAAGGTATTTTATTGGTATTCTTTTACAAAATTCAAACATTAATTTTTCAGCAAATATCTAGCTTTATTCACTTTAAGCATATCATGGTAAATAAAAATTTTCATTTCATTGATTTCATGTTTTCTAAAATTTTGCTTAAAAGATTTGACAATTTGCAAATGAAAATTTTATAAAAATGCCATACAAATGTGATTATTGGAATATCTGTCACTGTCATTAGAAATACGTCCTACAAATGTTTGCTTGTTATAATATGGATATTAATGCTTTTGACTCAGTGTGTATGGCTAAGAAGTAGCAAGTTTAGTCTCTCTTTTTTGTAGAAACGGTCAGTGCACATTGTTGTTTTAAGCCTTTTTAATGCAAACTTTACAGGTAAACATGTTTTTTATCTTTCCTATAATACATTTGTATAAGATTTATCACAGTTTATAATGTTTAGAAAGTTGGCAATTCTTTCATTCGAAGAGTTACAACTGTAATACAGCTTCTTTGTTTCACTACACCAACAAACAGTATAGGGAGCTTTCAGATTCTCCAACACCACCTTACCCGTTGAACAGTCGCCTGATATCTCTTCTATAACACACCTTGCATCATCACACACAAAGAGAGTATCATCATCTGACAGTGACATTCCTTTAAGCTCACTCATACAACTATAAGTACAACAACGAGTACCTATCACATCACCTTGCCAGTTCATTCTTGTCACTGTCTTCATCCACCAATCAGATACATAGATAGAACTGCTGTTACATGTGACAAAATATGGAAACATGAAAATATCTTTTCCATCAAATGTTGTCAGTATAGTGCCATCCATATCAAGGATCTGAAGTTTTGTAGGCTTAAGGAATGACACAACAAGTTTACCTTGATAACAGCTTATACCAAAACATTTCTTATCAACCTTCAAAGTGTGCCTCTTTTTGAGTTTGTTTGATGAAACTGATATAAACTGTATTGTCTTTTTGTAAGGAATTGTGACAGCAAGTTCAGTACTTGTTATTGTGGTGATATCCCATGGTCCATCATCTAGTTGTAGTTGATCATACACAGATTGACTGCTGGTATCCACCATCTTTACAGCATTGTTATTGAAGTCATTGATGATAAGAAGATCTGGAGTCAGCAGAGTCATTCCTGTTATATAGCAGCTTGATTCATCTTTTGATGTCTTCACACAGATTTCTCCCTCATGTGAAGATTGTCTAGACTTTATTTGTACAGGTTGACATTCTTTATGTAAGGGTTTGTGAGTCAATATACCAAGTGACTTCTCAGTTTTAAGCTTAGTTAATAATGTTTCATTTTCTTTAAAGTGGTGCTCTTTGACATCATATGTTGAAAGTTGTGGTGCAGTTTTCTCAACATCTTCCATCAACTTTTCTGCAAGCTTAAGCTCCATAAACAGTGTATTAGCTTGTTTTGATGTGTTTAGCTGTTTGATTTTTTCTGAAGATATCTTTAAAGATTTTGTAACTTCTTCACACGATGTTTCTACTGCTGTGATATTTGAGTTATTTTCTTGTTCTGTGACCTTGGCTACATGCACAACCTGTCTCTCCAGTTCATCAAGTCTCTGGTTTATTTCTTCCCGAAACTTTTTAATATCTTCTAGTGCATCTTTTAGTGATCTGTTCGATTTCGCCGTCATTTCCTTGACATCTTTTACCATCTGTTGATACTGATCAAAAGTGGTATTAAGTGCTTGCAAGATAACTTGATATTCTTTGCTGTTTATTATATTACCAGAAGTATCAGGTATATAATCAACTTTGCAGATAGCAGCTTGGTGTTCAAGGGTAACACAAACACTGCAAAGTAAATTTTTATGGCCATTGCAGTAGAACTTCATTATTTCTTGAGGATGTTTACAACAGGGTGTTGTAAGATCATCAGACGGGCTTTTGTGGATGGATGTTGAGGGTTGATGCAAAACTTTAGGCATACTTATAGCATCTAGAACTGTATGATGTCTGGTAGATTTAAGTTTTTGGTGGACTGTAAAACATGTCTTACAAAGGTGTTCCTTGCAATCAGTGCAGTAACCATGGGCAGGGAGTCTAGTTCCTTCCTCATCACAAGGCTGGCAGTAAACTTGAAGATCTTCATCTGATGCCATGGATGTTGTCGATGATGAAAACTGTTTTGATCCTTTCTTTCCTGGGACTGCCATGTTTTACCTAAAATGTAGCATAAACAAGTTAAGTATTTGTATATTTGTTTCTTTATACTTGTGCATGTCAAATACAAAAACAAGAAACTATGGTGGCTGATTTGTGTCATTCGTGTTTTCGCCGCGACTCCGCCAAGCGAAAAGACGAGAATAAACAAGTTTAAATGGCGGTTTAAAAATAACTGGGCGTGGTCATGTACATGTATACAATCCAAGCCACGCACCGATTGCCTGTGCGCTGGGGGAACGAATCAATATTAAAGAATTAAACGAGGGGAGGGGGGCGTCCATGCTAATAAGCGTGTTTTCGCTATGCGCCTCTTCCATTTTTCAATTGTTAATTCTCGACATTTTGCTCGGCGGGGTTGTGAGTGGAAAACAAGCTAATTTGCGGGAGGGCGAGAAAAGGTTTTATTTAATAAACTTGCCCTGGGTCTCCGCTTATAAGCTTGTTTTCGACCTGCGACCCCGCATTTTTATTTTTTTAAATCTCGCACTGCGCCCCTGTGGGTTGACGTTTTATTTATTAAACTTCGCACCCGCGCCCTGGCTAATTAGCTTGTTTTCCCTCCTTCACCCCGCCATAAACTTAATTCTCGACTTATCACTTAGCGGGGTGGCGGGACGAAAACGCGCTAATTAGCTGGAGCGCGGGGCGAAGTTTATCTGTTTACATTCCCCGTGCACCCGCTTATTCGCGTGTTTCCGCTCCGCGCCCCCGTTAATTCCCGGTCGTGGGACGAAAACACAAATGGCACATGTCAGCCACCATAAGAACAGTTCGGAAGTGCAAACATTTGCTTGCCTGTGATAATATTAATCGAGTTCAGTTTAAATCATATCAGAATGGTTAATATCACATGGAAAACCTCCAGCTTTACAAGTAAAAAAATCAACGTCCATCTTTGCATTATTTCAGACATAAGTTGGCAAGACAAGAGAAGAACCACCATCCTTTTAAAAGCTAGCTGCATAGATCATTACATGACAAAAAATAATATACAAAATGTACATGTAGTTTCTTTGAGTTTTGACATCTATGCTGTGTTTTAAAGGCCGGGGAATGTGAACTCAGATATCCGTACGGATGGCCATTAAGCATATTAGGTACAAGAGGCGGGGTTTTATTATCATGACCTGAGGTCAGCATGCTTGTAAATATAAACATGTGGTCTGCAATAGTATAGGAGAGTTCAGCATTCAGGAGAGATAAAGAAGTTGTGTATTTATTGGGGGGTAATGATTTGCAATTTGATGAAAAGGTAATAGCAGTGCTCTCATGATGTTTATTGCAATTACATATTTTTACAATGAAGTGTATAATTTATGAAATCGGTGATAGTCAGTATATACAAACAGTAAATACTAATTGTTTAGAAATGCCTTGTATATAGAAAAAATGTAACTTACATTTATCTGTTTGTCCACTTGACTCTTTTATTTTTTTGGGAAACAAAACTTATTTTTTTATGAATTCTGGTGAACTAAATTATGGTTATGAAAAGTAAAGTTAAAAATATTAAATGTTTGTTTCATTTTCACTTTCAATGAATTCTATTAGGAAACAGTGTACACAAAACCTATCGTTATTTTCACATAATATGTACAAATCACTTATGATCCATTAGTTTGAATACAATGTATATTGTTTTATTTATTGCCTATGTTGTTGTCTTACTCTGCGCGGCCGGTAGATAGTATCCATATATTTATTCCAGATTTGGTCTCTGTAGTTGTAGTTGTAAGGCTTGTAATTCTTTTTACCACGTTGCCTGCGTGGTGCTCGTGGATCTTTTGGATTCCATACTGATGTATGATCCCGGTCAACATTGTGATTCCAGTGCAGAACACTTAGCATTGACCGGACTTGATATGTGTCATCACTGAATGCAATCCTCTTGTCCTGGAAGATGTTCATCACATTATTGAACGATTCCACGTATGATGTGTTCCTAGCCAGTATATAGTCTTGGGGAGATTTATAAATCACCGACTTTTCAATGACAGTCTGTAACATTTTTTCTGCTTTTGGGTCAGTAATGACTGTCCTTGATGGTTCATAGTTAGGATCTATTTTGCATCTTGATGTTTGGTGACAATCGCTGTGCTCATTTTTATAATGTGAGGTAATATTCTTCAGAAGTTTCTTCAGATTTTCCGGATTGCTCGCGCAGTTTCTGATTGCCCAGTGAAAATGAGTGGCAATTGGTTCAACCTTGTCTACCAACTGCTCCAACCAAGTATTCCCTTGCTTGTATTTTGGTCCAGAAGATACCGCTTTCATTGCTTTCTTCACAGATTTCACTCCATGCCATGAGTCATTCTGGTTCAGAGTATCAGGCCTGTCTTTCACCATCTTATTAATGGACATGTTCCTGTCGTGTGTATGCACATTCACAGTTACATCTTTGGAATCAAAGTATTCATATGCTTTTTCAGTTCCAACTTTCTCATGTCCCTGTGACACAATATCATCAGACTTTGTTACAGTCACACATTGAAGGACTTTGTGTGATTTTTCACCAAGCGCAACGATGCTGCTGTCTTTGGCATTTTTTCTCCAACCATGCCGAGCGTCAGTCATGATGTCAATGCCATCGAGGTCTTCATACCAGGCGATTTCCTCAAGTAAAGCTTCATCAATTGATGATTCATATGCCTCCTTTACACTTTGATTGAAGACCTTTGATATGTTTCGTCTCTTTGGTTTTGTTATACTACCAATATTTTGCTGTATCAGCAAACCTTGTGTAGTGAACAGGCAGCATTCCACTACATGTTATTGCATGATGCATTCTGGTTGACAAGAAATTCATTATTTGGCAGGTAGGGTGACGACGACCACTTGGTAATGTGTGGGTTCTCTGCATTATCGCACTGTAATGTATTTACCACTACATGTCCACGGTACACAGTTTTTACAATTTTCTGTTTATGTCTACATAACCTAGCATGATTTTCTGATATTGTCACCAGCTGTTGCAACGATGTTGATGCCGTCACAAATAGGCTATCTTCAGTGTCTTTTCTGTCCACTTGTGCAAAAGATGTAGTTGTTGAGTCGTCTTTCTCACTAGGATCATGACTGTCAATCCAATAATTGAGAACAGAATCTAAAATATCACCATTGTTGACTGCTCTGTTTAATAATTCTGTCAATCTGTCCCTTACATGTTGCATTTTTTTTTGCATTAAATTCCTGTTTTTTGTCAGATTCACCAGGTATTTAAATTTTAAAACTAGGTGGTCTTCTTCTATTCATGTTCAATAATTCCCAATGATCAACCTTGTATACGTGTATAATATTCCTTTTTATTTTTAGTCACAAAGAGTTTGAAGTGTTATGATAGGGATTTGGTATATATCTTAGGTAATTAATTAGTTGGGGGAGTCCTTCTGTATCTAGGGTGAGGAAGATGGCAATATATTAATTTTAATCAAATTATGGCATTGACAAAATTCAAGGTATTATACCTTAGATGTGTTTCAATTGTAATTTAGACTGTGTACATGAACAGAGTCGAATTATATACTAAATAATAATGCATTTATTTCACTTTTTCTTTAGATTACATACTTTACCTATTACACTAGATAGACTATTCCAATTTTGTGTTAGAACTGACCAATACCTCACCACTTGATCATAAAGTAATAACAGTGATTTTATCTATAGTGCAAATGAGAAACACATGTTTCATGCTGTGTACTTGTGCAGTGTGTGTCAATAATCAGTTTGCAGAGAAAGATCATTCTGATATATATCTAAATTATAACATTACATGTATTTAAATTATTGGTGTACTAATAGTGATTTGGACTTGTATACTTTGTTCAATGGCTGAGGAAACTATCAGGGTAACACTTGAATTATTACCAGAGCAATTAGAGACAATTAATCAACTGTTTAATTATAATGACTGGGACTACAGGAAATTCAAAGACAAAACATAAGTTCAGAAGTGTCAACTCAAACTTGTAGAGAAGATGAAAATGATAGCAATGTGACAAACTTTCGGATCCAACAAGATCATGACCAAGAAGAGTGTATTTACTGTCTGTGTAGGCCATGTATAACAGATGAAAGGAACAGGCAACTTTGGTGGGAATCTGAAAATAGCCCTCCCACTCAAGGAATAGAAGCTTACGCAAGGAATTATACAAGCGCTTTTGGACAATGCTACTTCATCGTAATGCATGGTCAGATCTGCGTTATGTCGAAGCAAAAACTGCTGCCCTACAAGGGGACAGGCGATTTAGAAAATATGTGTGGCACAGGCGTGATATTATACCGAAATGTGTTTTAAACATTGTGAGGGAGTGGTTCCCGAATCCAGTTGGTGAACCATACATGGGCCACTTGTGGGAATAGACAGTGATGCACATTTAGGTGATACATAAATTTGAATGTTTCTTTTACATCTAACAATCAATATATCAACAATTAACTTATAGTGATGTCATTTCAAGTTAATAAATTCATGATTGTAGGGATAGAATATAACACAATCAATAAATAAAAATTCAAGTTCATTGCTTTCATAGTATTTCTCTGGTAGTATTTATTGCCCTAGTATTTATTTCCCCGCCATCTGTCAAACTCTACTGTGAGAATGTTTATACCTAGAGAGATGTAGTTGGCTGAGAGAAAGGTCATAACCTCTGTACAACTGTCAATCAAATATACAGGGAAATTTGAATTTTTAACTGTTTTCAAAAAAATATTTTTTTAAAGTAGTACTTCTAAGTATCACAGAGATCTGTAACTTTCAAGGAATGTTGCTTACATGATAAAGAAGTGATGTGCCAATTTATAGCAAATAATATGAGGTATGTCTCTTTAAATTTTGAAATTTCATTTTTCTATCTCTCTCTGATTATGCTAGCAGACAGCATACAGAGTTCAACAGCAGTGGCCATTTTTCTGCTTGTCTGCCTTTTATACTTGTTCCCAGGCCTTTAAATGCTAAAATTTATAATGATTTATATGTAGCAGCTGTAAAAATATCTTCAATACAAAATCTCTTCGATCGCCAAAATAGGTGTTTATTGTGTAGAAATGAACATTATACACAGAGATGTTCAAAGCTAATAATTTTCATATCTGTTATGCATAGTACAGTTTTTAACCCGATTAATAATACTATATTTCCTCTAATAAACACTCCGAGAATGTGAGATTTTCCAACTAAAGGGATATTAATTGAAATACTATCAAAATAAATGAATCTACAGTGTTTACATTGTTTACCATATAGTAATATATACTGCATTGAAATTTGTGTTGTGCTGTGTTGTGTCTACCTATAACCAATTAATTAATATATACCTACTCACCTACCATCACACTTTTATGAGAATTTTTGTGCAAACAAAACAAAAGAAGAAAGGTTCAGTATACAAAAATGTATTTGTGAGAAATTTCAAGCTATGAGTTAATTTAAAGATGAAATATACAGTTAAAAGGTTAAAAACAGTTTGTAACTCATGGCACATTTCAGTTGCCCGGCCATTGCCTAAACTGATCCAGTCCAATGTGATGTGTGCAAGTTCATTATTATCATTTTATATCAATCAATACGATCGTAAATTTTTGTTTCATATTAAAGATATTGAAATTGTACTGTCAAATCTTGCTCAGATTATTATAAAAAAGCAAAACTTGCGTTAAAAGTAACAACAGCAAAGCATTGTATATATAATTTGTTATTTCAGCTTTTAAATGAATTGTTTAAAAAAACTGTACCTTACAAAATCCTTAAATTGTTTCACAGGTTAAAACATGTCCGCTTCTATGTTAAAAAGGGTGTATAAATATTGACTTTAATATCAATATCACTTCCTTATCGCATGGTTTGGAACATTTCCTTTGTTCTTACTAACCCATTATACTCAGTACACTTCAATGAGCATGTGATATATAACAGTACAGTTTTTTCATTGATTCATATAGGCGAAAAAACTCGACTCGTATGGAAAGCCATTCTGCCATGCGAATTGCTATTTGCAAATTGTTATTTGCGAAATGACAAATGCGAAATGATATTTGCTAATGATAAATGCAAAATGCTTATTGACACAAGGTTATTTCAGATCAATTTCCAGCATTAATTCAGACCGCTGTCTTCCAGGAAGGTAGGTAGTAAACAGATGTTTGCGAAGTAAAAACAAGATAAACAGTAATAAAGAATATTTTACACATGTTTGGGTTTTTTAAGCTTCAATTAAGGCGTGAAACAGTATCCTCAAGTACTTAATGCAGGGGATACTTTGTACCAGGAATGACCAGATATTACAAATAATATTTAGTATTTACATAATAATAAATGACCAGATATTACAAATAATATTTAGTATTTACATAATAATATTTCCATAAGAAATTTCTTTTGTATGCAGTGTTTTTCCTTTTAATTTTATAAAAAATTTTGGCATTTTTTGGGGAAATTTAAAAGTTTTTTTTTTTACCATATTTACTTTAAATGAAAACCAGGGGTTTTTGCTAACTTTTTGGCCCCAAACCCATGACTTTTTTAAATGTTTTGGGGCCAATGCTTATCAAATGTTTATTCTTTTACTGTGTGATAAATATTGAATAGAACTTTAGTATCATTAGCAGTAATTGACCATTTAAATATGTTTTTAACTTTTTTATCAATTGTTTAAAAGTCATTTCCGGTATTTCGCTTGTTATGTATATAGTGTAAATAGTTATCAAAATCAATAAATATCCAAGCTACAGTTTTGAATACTTTTTATATGAAAATGTCTGTAATAGATTGTGATTTGTGAATATTTAATTATCTCAAAATGACCAAAATGTAACATATTGTTGGAAATTCCATGAGACGCTCAATTTTGAGGAAACATTTGCTTTCTATTTGTTTGCTATCTAATATAGATAATTATACTCTTTCAAAACATTTTATAGGTAGTGCTCCTACTTTAGAAGAACTTAAATGGAAACTCCTGTCCTTAAAAGCATCAAGAAAGATGCCAACAAGTTCTCTAGTTGTTGCAACAAAACAGAAAATGAAGGTATGATTTTTAGCTTCAAGAATATTTCAAGATATTGTACTCACCCTGGTATCGGCAATCGCGTCAGCTTCACAGCTTGGTTAATTTTTGCGGGCAAGTACAGTAGCCATTGTCACAAAGGATATCAATTAAAAATAAAAGTACTCATTATGACAGCAGGCAGCTGTAATTGTAGATAAAGGTTTAAAATATTGACCAACGCCTTACTGAAAAGCCATCCATAGTAATCTTACAGTTCCTATTGTTGATAGTAAAAACTAGGCAATAAGTTCTTGATAAGTGATCCACCCGAACCACAACGTACATACAAAAACTGTAGCTTGATTTAGACTATTTATTGACATTTATGGTAATGAACACTGCCAATGCCCTGTAGCAAGTAACAATAAATACTTACTGTTATTGTTTCGTATTGCAGGCTGAGGAGTACTTGATACGCTGTGGGGTGAATGAGAACAGAGCTGGAGCTTAAGTTGATGCGCTCTTTCAAACACAGAGTATTGAAACTGCACTTAGGTTGTAATGATGACTATGAAATTGTGAGAAACAGACTGCTAGTAGAATATTAACTTCATGATGAATGTTAAAACGAGGGTTATATAGTCCTTTTAATTATGATGGACGAGATGGTTGATGAAGATAATTTTTCTGTTTTTAACTACATTCAACACAATAAGAAGTATATTGGAGCCACAAGGTTATACATGGGTATGCAAAACAAACCACTGATGTACTTCAGTGACTCTGAGGAAAAAGTGTGTCCAGCTGAAATGTCAGCAAAACAAAGCAAACCGGAAAATGTAGGTTGAGCTAATGCGTCATCGAAGCAAAGTGGCTCAGCAAATGTGCAAACGGAGAAAATGTGTCAAGAGAATTCAAGGACTTGAAAAGTAGAGGTGATAATTTAGAATCAGTAGATCGATTACGTCGATGCTAATAAATTCTGTCCAGTATATGCCACCGATCCAAAAATAGTCTGTTACTGTAAAGGAATGTGATGTGACTTGCTGAAATCTTATGCCAGGACTTAAATAAAATGATGGTCATTAAAGTAATGGAGCATGTTTACCTTCTTTGTTTCAATGTTAGCTTTGTCTAATGTAACTTGTTTCTAATATTTTAACTTTTTTATACTGATATTTTAAATTTTGATTGTACATGTATCTCTGTCAAAATCTCTAATAAAGTGACAACTTTGAATACTTGAGCTTTGCCTGTAATACGACCAGCTCTTGTTTTAATTCTTTTCAGTAATGCAAAAGAAATTGTTTCAAAAGTTTGCTTTATTTTTTTTTCTTCCGAAAAATCAATTGCACTGTCCTCTAAAGGTCCCTTCATATCTAGTTTTTTTTTACATGTTGATTTTTTTAGAGTCATATTAAATAAATATATAAGGAAATGAACGCTTTCATAGTCCTTTCTTTCAAGACATTTTGTAAGACGAAAATATATTTGTTTAAAATTTTTGGGATTCATATAACAAGAATTTATATAATGTTAGTCTTATTACTAGTACATGTACTTCACCTCTTATTGTATGTACCAAAATGGTAATGGAGTGGAGTTTCCCTATACTAGAATGAGTTGTTGTGTACCTGGATTTTGTTCAATTAATGAAGTTGTCTGATTATCTGGCTTTTATTATTACTCAATTTGAAATATGTAAAAAAAATATTAACGCCATTTTTACCGTAAGAACTGGATAAAAATAACTTGCAACCTGATTGACAGAATACTGGCTACCATTGACGTTTATAAATGAAACTTTTGAATAAAAGAAAAAGACATGAAGTTGTTTTTTCAGTATTGTATGGGACATTTATCATGTTTATTAGTTATGAGTACAAGTTAACAGAATTTATATGTGAGTTGATTCTGCTTGTATTATTATTTCAGTCTTTGCTGTGTACTTTTTTATTATAATATGCAGTCATTTGATGCCAAAACAATAATATGATGCTACATGTATGTTTTCCATTAAATGAGTCCGAATAAGTACAGGGTTCAACTTCGTTGTCCACCTGTCTGTCCGTCCGTTTGTCTGTCCGTCACACTTTTGTGTCTGCTCCACAACTCTACTACAAGAGGTATCCACTTGAAACTTGATAGGAAGCTATATCACATGAAAAGGTGCACAAGAACCATAACTTTTCCTTTCATAGTTTATGAGTTATTGCCCTTTGTAAATTTCTAAACTAAATTCTCATCTGGGCTATATCAAAAAGTATAATAGATATCAATTTGAAGCTTTGTAGGTAGATTAATTACATATATGTGAAGTGTATTACACAAGAACCATAACTCTTTTTTTCATAGATTAAGAGTTATTACCTTTTGTAAATCTTAATAGCAGTACATGTCCGGGCCATATGTCAGATAGGTCAATACATCTCATTCGCATATACGCAGAAAAAGATGAGCACTTTTGCAACATGCAACTCTGTTGAAAATAAATATAAGTGTTACAATTCGGCCTTCATGTTAAAAGAGACATTCCATTCTGTGTTATATGAGGCGAGACATAGCTACTTCCGTTTCCGAAAGGACCCGTCCAGTTTAAAGTTTGGTTTTAGATCACAATGTAAAAACATCCCTTAAATGATATAAAACTTATTAATATCTCATATTCTAGCTGTATATTTTATACTGGTAATATTCAATCATAGCATTTGTATCAATGGATTATCTTTTGATAAATATCTGTATTTTAAGCAACATTTTTTCCCAATTCATATAGTGTTACCCATAAAATTTAAACTCTGCTTGGAGATACCTAATTTTTCAATATGCTATTAAGTTTGTTAAGTTAAACGTGTATTTTCTTTTGCCTTCTTTTGGATATTTTGTATCTCTGTTTTATTATAACATGCATGTTTCTGAGATTTACAGAAAGAAGAGAAAGAGATTGCAACATAGTGAGTCAGAAGCTTTGCTGCTGTTGTTGATGATGATGGAGATTGCTAAGTTCAGCTTGTTAATTTGTAGTTTATAATTGACGTGTTTCTTCCCTTGAATTTGATTCTGATGTGTTCTCTCCTTTAATTTTGTTCTTTGTTTGAATCAAATAAATAAGACACATGATTTTTACAAAATTGTTGATTTTTTTTCTCAAATATCTCTCTACCAATACTGTTAAATCCCTCTCAGGGACAAGTACAGTCGTCCTGTTTTACCCAGATAGAGAGAGAATGGGAGTTCCAATGAATTGTGCAGGCACATAGTACTCTGAACCCACAATTATTCATTGATACGAACTTTTAGGCTATTTCTAATGCTCGAAGAACAACCAAATAGGTCCCCGTCGAGGATCGAACTTGGGAACTATCACATCCCATGCGAGTGTCCTACCAGTGGACCAGCTCGTCTCAATTTGGGGGATAGCCTATTGTTCTAGGAAAAATGTTAGTATTTTGCATTTTGACCAAAAATCCCTCTTTTCGCCGAGGAACATGAATTCATACATGAGAATACATACTGGAGAGATAGTATTGTTTAGCCATATCGCTTGTGTAACAACAACTAAATAAATGTACTATAGTCATGCCAACTTCGCAGCATGTTTATGAGTTACATATAATGCCTCGATAACCATATACATATATATTGAATTTAATTGTTCAATCTAAAATTGTCACAGATGCGAATAATAACTACCGCACAACAAACTTTAACTTCATGCAGGAATAATTAAAGCCTTTATACATAAAATGTCTAATTTCAAGGGCACATAACTCTGCAATGCCTGAATTGAAAGACCATAAATTTGTGGCATGCTCATATTCACTTCATGATTATGATATAATTCAAGATTGAAGCCAGTCACTTAAGAAATATG